ATATATATATATATATTATATTATATTATATTATATTATTATTACAAAAGATTAGTTCTAAAATAAACACAGTAATTCTATTTACTATCTAAAAACAATTAAATAAACTATTCAATGAGAATTAAAGGATGTAACAACACCCACCTCTTTCAGATTCCGTCACTTGACTGGGATGATTACTTTGAATCGTCTTTGTCTGTGTTGCAGCCTCTTCGGCCGCGTTTTTCAAAGTCTCTCTTGCTATCGTTTCAAAGACTTCTTTTACATTGATATTATTTTGAGCGGATGTTTCATAATAGGGGGCATTATTAAACTTCTCTGACAGCTGCTGTAAGTCGGATTTTTGAATGGCCCGCTGGGCCTCTAAATCACATTTGTTACCAACAAGAACTACAGCCATTTTTTTCCCTTTTCGAAGGCCCGCTATTGTTTCATAGTGAATATTTAACGAATGAAATGAGTTTAAATTGTCAATGGAATATACCAAAATAAATGCGTCGCCTTTCACGTAAAATTGGTCTCGCAACGACACTAGTATGTCAATCTATCATCGTTTAATTCTTATTTACTAACACAAACCATATTCTTCTTGCCCAGCTATTTATTATTATTTAATAGTTTAACATAAATTACATTAGTTTAATAGTAAGTATATACACTTATAGTACAAACCTGTATCTCTAGTTATTAGTAGTATTCATTACTATTTAAATTAGATTGTATATAATATATATATTATATTATTATTATTAAATAATAATATTATTATATATATATTATTAAATATATATTCACTCCATCCATATTATTATATTATAGTATAACAAACACTATCGACATCTTAACAACTTTACCATCGACATTCACTTCAGTTGGATATGTTTCTTCAATGGTTGGGTTATACTCAATGTTGAACTCCCCCTTCACAAACATCAGGCATAACGAACTCTTACCAACTGAGCCTTCCCCGATTATCACAACTTGAAGTGGCTTCTCTTCTGTCGACATCAAATGAACTTTCTGATTTTTTTATTCGACACGTTTGTTTGGAAATGAACGCTTTAATCGTCGAAAAACAAAATCATTTTTGTTTGCTGGTGTGGCTTATTATAGTTTAGTACTATAAATATGGTTTATTTGTAATATATTTATAATAAATTTTAATTACAACAATATTTCCATATAAAATCGAACTGTTATTAAATTGATTGATCTCGGCATAACAACGTTAAAATATTAGAAATGTATTTTGGAAAAAACAAAAGAAAAGTAAAGAAAGCAAAAAAAATCAGAAATGAAATTACAGCTAATATTTCCCGTTTTTTGTGCGTAATAAGACTGCTGTTTCATTCTTAATAATTAAAGACCTTTTTTATTATAATTACTTATTAATAGAATTATTATTTGTATTTTTGTAACCATTCAAAAACTTAATTTAAACTATAATTTATTAGAATTGTCAGTATTATTTTAGGAAAATAATCCCGATTTGTTTTTAATTTTTAAGTGTTAAATTAAAAAATTTGAAGTATTTAATTCAATAATTCGCTTGAACAAAAATTAATAATTTATAGATATAATTATAATATACTATTAATTAATTAAATACCAAGAAAAATCTTCGAAAACGAAAAAAAAGCAAATCACAAAAATATAAAAAGAGAAAAACATTTTATACAACCGAAAAGAGATAAACTTTTTTTAAAAACAAAAAAGTCATAACTTCCAAAAACATATGAAAACCGAAGACGTACTAAGCAAACAAGACATTTCGACCCTTCAAATGATGATAGAGACATTTTCCCCAAAAGCAGAGTTACCAGACGACTCCGATTTATTATGTGCGATTCTAGTTTGTCATTTTTTCTTTTTTACTATTTTTAATAACTTTTTAATAACTTTTTACAAAAAATAAAATTAATAACAAATGAGATGAAAAAAATTGAAGAGGAAGGAATCGTCGTGATGTTTGACGATCTCAAAGTGACAACCTTGAGAGAGGTGTGCGAAACGCTCTTTGGAGAAAAGAAGAAAAATACGAGACTTGCAATGATACACAAACTCACAAATCTCGTCAAAGAAAAAGGAGCAAAGGAATTTTTTAAAATCGCGCCCGAGGCTATCAAACAAGGACTATTTGCCAATGTTGCGGAGGATATCAATGATGAAAAATCCTTCATGGAACAAGCAAGACTCACAGGATTTGCAAATTTGTTGAATTCGTTTGATATTAAACTCAACACACTTATCATAGAAAAGTTTGTCAAGAAGGGGAGCTATAAGAAGAAGGACATTATAGGTTTCTTGATCGACGATGAGGAGCTGTAATTCATTGTGACTTTACTTTGTCTTCATTCCGCACTTCTCGTTATAGATTGCAACAAATGTGAGATACCATTTATATTTAATTTTTTTATTATTTGTTTAACTATTTATTTTTAGAAATTAATTATTTATTACATCAGAGCCAATTTTGTCTTTGAAAGACTTTATTTTTTTTACAAATTAAAAATAATAAATTTTATAAAAAAATATTTTTTATAACTTATTATAGTAAAAGTTATAAAAAAATAAATATTCTAAAGATTCTATTCTATAGTATATAGATTAGAATATAGATTCTATTCTATATACTAAAGGTAATAAAATAAATGGTACAAATATAATTTAAATATGGTAAGGTTGTCATACATCAAATCTTGGGATTGAATTGGAATAGGAGAACATAAGAATGCGGCGGCCCCAAATAAGAACAGCGAAAGACACCGCACAACTTACAAATGAAATAATCGGTGTGTAGTCCAAGACGTGTGTATATGATATGTGAGACGTAAATATGATTGAAATTACGTTTCCGAATAAAGAGATTGATGACAACACGCACCCAAAGAAACCATACGAGTACTGCTTGACCGCCGTCTGTAAATATGAGAACGCAAAGGCAAGCGCCAATGCATTAGAAAATGCAACCGTGGTGTGGAGAGATACAATCGTTGTGTTAAATAAGAAGAGTGTTCTCTCTGGCGTTGGTAATTCTTTGTCAACAAAATTAAAAAGGAAGTAGGAAAGCAGTGGACTGAACATAACAAATAGCGTTGTCATATACATATTAATTGTGTCGACTTTTTTGGAAAGAAGTGAAGCTATCACTAACATCACAGCAACAAACAGATTTGATATAATCGTGAAGTATGAGTTTGTCTTCTATTGACTCAATATATAATTTATTAATTATCGTCTTCTATAAATGTAAATTAAAATGAGTCATCCAACTCATTTTAATTTATGATATTATAAGTTAATACATCATTTACTATAATAATGATATTAGAACAAACAAGATTAGAAGGCGAAATTTCCATCCGCTTTTGTGAAAAGTCATTGAAGTCCAAACAACACGTTGACAGAACACCAAAGAATAAGACGATGGACAGGATCCGAATGTTTTTGGGATACCCACTCCCACACCAGATCGAAAAGTCGTGTTTGATCGTGTTAAAGTATGTTCTCTGTGACTCCTCGCGTTCATTGAACAATTTACAAAAAAGTAAAAAGGGAATTGGTGCGACGACAATACAAATTGTGGTTAAGAGCAAATTGGCGAACGGAACATCGTCGATGAAAATAGTGAAAAGGGAAGTTATGATGGAACAAACGCATTGTGGCACTTTAAGTAATATCTGAGCTTGAAACATCGATAATTCTGGGAAGTTGTCCAAGACGATTATTCGCACAAAAGTTGTGAGAATTGGAAGTACAATTGCTATTAAAAAAGAGATGATGCACTTGGTGACAATCGAAGGAACAAAGTAATCCACGAGAAACATTGAAAATACAATGAACGACAATAACGAGGCAGACGCCAACACAACCTTTCTTTTTCCAAAAGACAAAGTAAATGTATCACTCAGCTTCCCGATTAATGGCAAGAATAAACACACAACGACTTCCGTACAAAACAATGTGATCAATGGATATGACGAGTCATAAGAACCTTCTTTTTCATACAACACTAACATCATATTGTTCAAGCACCGCTCTTTTCTTTAGTGTTATTCACCACTTTAAACAACAATATACACCATTATAATAATATCAAACCAAGGTTTAAAAACAGCGATACAAACGTAGAAACGAGTGTGTAATTAGTGGCAACGAAAACACAATCAACCGCACAATGTTTTTTGCAATCATTTTATTATATTCTTTAGTTCGTTGTCTAAATTTTTCATTTTTTCATTATTTCTATTTGAATTTTTATTAAAACCAAAAACCATTTTATTATAATTAAAATAGTTATATATTTATCAATTTTAACATATGACATTTTATTGTTTATAATAAAAAACTTAAAATTATTTTTTTATTCAAAAAATTAAATCTTTTTAATAATTAACTAAACATGATTAAACTATACTTATATAATATTGTTATTTAGGAAAGTAACTATTCTAGTATGTTTTTAAACAATAAACATAATTTAAAATTTAATAAAAAATATTAATAAGTGTTTAAAAAAGATAATATGTCCGTTATAAAAATGCCCAAAAAGACCTTAATTTATTGGTGTCTATAAAACTAGTAACATCATAACACCAAAGAGCACCAGCAATCCGACAGAACTACTGTTTTCTTCATCCGATTTCCACATATTTGGTAATTTAGTTTGAAACACATCATCGAGTTGTTTATTTAAATCGCCAATTTCCGAATATGACCCAGTCTGGTACAATCCGAAGTTATCGTCATGGTAATCGTGATAATTAAAGTTCAAGTTGTGTTTTTCGCAGATGTCCAAGAAATCTTCGACATATTTTTCGCCTTGTCTATCCCAAAAACAGTATTTTGTAATTCCGAACTCTCCAATATATATAGGCACATTCTTGTCACTCTGAAATTTCAACACGGTCTGTAAACAATGCTCAAGATACTCTTTATCAAATTTGTGGATGTAATCGACAGTCTCAAAGTTCATTCGCACTTGTAAACTAACGTCTGTGTTCAATTCAGTGCCATAGACATATCCTTCTATCGTGTAAGTTCTTCCGCTCGTTGGGTAGAAGAATTCCTTAATTTCAACTTGGGCAGTCGACGTCACTCCACTAACTTTATACGCTCCAGAGCCATCTCTTCCCTCATTAGTACTATACTCTTGTGACCCACTATATGGACTGCTCCAGTAATTGATAAGCACTTTACTATTAAAATCGTACTTCTTTGTCCACACAACACTTTCTCCGTCCTTCTCTGTTATTGTGAAGTCGTCAAAGAGGGCGTACCCGCTTTTCATATTGCTTGCCCAAAAATAGATGAAGTACTCATTAGTATCAAACCCTTCAACTTTCAATGTTGCGCTCAACTTCTGCCAAGTGTTCTGTTTATTTGTGTCGTAGCTTTGCGTGTTCAGGCACTTCTTCCACACTCTCTTTCCTTCAGTGAAGTAATTTTCTTCACTGTACTGAATCGCTGGAATTGAACTAAATTGTGAATTAAAGGATGCATTCTGGTGTGTATAGTCTATTGGGGAATAGTAGTGTGATTCATACACCGTTTTACTATCATTTATAGTAAATAAGTTACCATATTCCTTATATGAAGATCCATCTCCATTCAAGAACCCAACCGTCTCTAAAAAGATCAAGTGATTGTTGTCTGTCTGTCTAATGCCCTTGACTGTGGTTTCAATGAAGTCTTGGTACGTTTGAAGAGTCGTCTGAGCGTTTGTGTCAAACTGTATATTTGGCTCGTTGATCAGACCGAATCCTAAAACAGTTTCTTCGTCTTTGCAATGTTCTGCAATAAGTGCCCAGAGGTTGAAAAACTGGTTCTGAGATACACCAGGAGTAAATATTTTTCCTTGAGAGGCATACCCCTCTTGATTGAGATGCATATTCAAAATTAATTTGATATGTGCTTTCTTGGCTTGGGATATTTCATTGTCTAGCCACGGCCAAGCTGTTGGTCGAATGGAATAATCGTCTGCTTGAAAGACTTTTGAATTCATGTAAAAACGAACCGAATTAAAGCCACGAGAGAAAACGTCTGAGTAACTCTCGTTGGTGTGGTCCATTTTGGGGTGTTCATACCAATAAGTGTCATAACAATTGTTTGTAAACCCAATCCCTTTCACGTGAAACTCTTTTTGTGTTGATTCATCAATGATCTTTCCATCTTTGATGGTGTAAAAAGACGATGCAATGGATATTAAAAGAATTAGCAAGAACATGTATTCAATATTTTGAGTTGAAAAGTTAATTCGTTTTTTCATTTCTTTTCAAATAAATCTATTTATCGGTAACATTTCAAATACTTATCAAAAGAGTTATAAATTCTTGTGAATAGTATTGCCGATATAACAAGAACAATTTTTTTCTTGTTTTTGGGGGTAGAATTTTATGTTTTTTTTCGATTTTTAATTAACAAAAAAATCGAATGTGTTTTTTTATTTCTAAATAGTATATAAACTATTCCACTTTTTAATATAATAAAAACCTCTAATCTAGATTTAATATCTTTAAGATATTTATACTTCAAAGTTTTTTTTCACAACAACTTTTAAAAAGTGATAAACTAAAAAAAAATAAAAAAATAAACTATTTTCAATAGATTACAAAATCTCGATCACCAAAAACCAATGACAACACTTTCCCCGCTTCACGTCTATTGTGTTTTGGAATTTTTATCAATTTCCGATATAAAGAAGATATCCTTCATCAACAAAAGACTGAGTCATATTTTAGTGCACTCTCCGTATCTATTTTCCTCATCATTCCAAAACTTAACACCCAAAGCAATCTATGTTTCCGGAGACTTAACTGACAATTTCCAACTCAACTTTTCTCACATCCGCTTCATGGATGTGCACATTGGCTCCGAAAATATCAGCGTTTCATATCCCATCGTAAATGACGAAAAGACTAATGACGTGGATACTGAATATTCTGACAGTGCAAGTGACTCGGAAAATTATAAAGACGTTTCCATCGTCCCAGCCATCGATCCGGACTTCGACGAGATGATGCGAGACTCCTTCGAACCTCAAAAACACAAAGTTAGGTCTCTCCGTGTTTTTCTCCCGACGAAATGTCTTGTTTCTCTGAAGCCTTTTTCCAACTTAGAGAAACTGACTTTGTGTTATGACTTATTACCAACAGTATTTAAGAAACCCTTGTCTTCTCCAGAATTCGCGGAAGACCCCGAGACCAAATTTTGGAAAAGTGTTCCGAACGACTTTTGCAGAGTTGTTGGAGCGCCCCTTCCCCTCCCACAAATTGTTTTAGACTTTTTGAAGGCATTGGGACCGTTTTGTAAGAAGGTGGTGACCCCTAACGTAGCCAATTACACACAAAAGACGTTTGGGTATATGGAGAGTATGAAGGATATAACATTTTATCTCAAGCAACACATCCACCCAACGACGATACCACACTTGGCAGACAATGTGATATTAAGCAGTGAAGTTGTCGATTTTGTGTCGCATCGACTTGCTGGGAAGAAGATGTCATACACTGTCTTCACTCAAAAGTACTTCCCGCACTTTGTGAAGTGTAGCCATGTCGTTGAAATCCACTCAGCACAAAACGTGTTTTCAAGAGGACAACTTGTGACGATCAAAACCCCATCAACGGTCAACAGTTTGGTGTACAAGGAGGAACCCCCGACCCTCCAAAAGTCGTTTGACTTCTCTTTATTCACACAGTTGGTGTCACTTGACTTGTCTGCAACACAATTTGTTGTGCGGAAAGTTGCGTTACCGACTTCACTCAAAGAGTTGAGTGTGGACTGCTTCACCAAACGCATGAGTGACCTTGGCGAGATACCGAATAGTGTTACAATGTTGACATTAAGACAGTTCATAGACACTGAAATTGTGTTACCACCAGCAGTTGAGGTATTAGACTTACGGTGGTTTGGGCATTGTGTTGCTATAGCGAATTTAGAGTTCTTAACGAAGTTGGTCAAGATGGATATCAGAGGGTTTAAAGTGCGTCACTTATCTTTTCCGTCATCATTGCAGTCGCTCACCATCTCGTGCTGCCATAAGTTAGAAAGCGTTGATGATTATAACACGATCTTTGACTTACACCCGACTATAGAAGACTGTCCATTGATTGCATTTAATTAATTATAAAATTAATTAAGAACAAAGAAAGAAATAGAACAAAGTAACTCAAGTTGATTGATTGGTTTTAGTTCACTGCAAAACCCAGATGGTTTTGACAGGCGCAGACGCCGAATTTTTCAGTATAAAGTCGACGCCGCCTTTTGGAGTGTTTTTGTACGACGTTTTGAAGGATGGATTGAACGAACACATCTCCTCAAACGTCAGAGAATAGAAGTAACCAACTTCTAGGACAGGAGTCTTCAATTCGTCATCATCATCTATAAAGTCTGCGATCATTAATGAGTATTTGTTTGTTGGCTCGGCGTCATACTTACCAGGCACATCTTGTAAGTTACGAAGTGAAAAGACAAAGTGTCTTGGATCAGTAACCCACACGCCATATGTTTGTGGTAAGTCGTGGTGGTAACTCCCAAAAATCTCTCCACTCTGCGTTTCTATTAAAATTATTAAATCGTGTGAGTTGTTGAAGAGTTTAAGACAATTTTCTCGTGTAAATTTAGTCTCTGTGCTTTTGAAAAGAACATGAAGAGTCTGTTTGTTGGACCATTTGCATAACATGTCTAATTCAGACTGATTTAAATTGCCTACCAACATATTGGAAAGATCAACAAGTGGCGGGTTGTCTTGTTGCGCAGTCAACTTCGAGATCTGTTGAAAAGCCTCAAATAATTCAGAAGAACATTTTCCAGGCTCTGGAAGACACACATTTTCAGAACAGCCATCTTCTTCGACTTCCATTTGATGCATATGAGTGTTGTGATCGTCTTCCGTGTTCTTCATAATACACTCAACAAGTTTTGGTTCAAACACATCCTCAGTTTTCACTTCGGATTTCTCAGCCTTTTGGGGCACTTTTTGTTGGAGCAAATGGAGAAGCTCTTCGTTAGCTTGTTTTAATTCAAAAACCCTTGTTTTGAGTACCTCTTTTTGCTCAAGAACACTTTGAAGTTTTTCTTCTGTTTCTTTTAAAAGTAACTCGGCGTTTTTATTAGTCTGTTGGATTACATTTGTCTTCTTTGAGTTGTCTTCTAAATCGCCGACTGCAGTTGTACCGAAATATATTGTACCATAGTTCTCCAGTTTGTTTACGACAACTTGATGGCTCATGTTTCATTTTTTCAGTTATTAAAAAAATCGAATTGGTTTTTGAATGAAATAGTAGATTGATATAATAAAATTATTATAATATTTTAGTAATGATAGTAATGAAAACTTTTAATGACTTCTTTTATAACAATAATGATACTAATACTAATATTAATAAATTAGTAAATTATTAATTAAAATAAATTAAACTTAATAGTTATAATATCTAATAATTGTTTTGTTATCAAAAAACTATAATCAAAGAATAATTTTTTTATAATAAAATTAACCGAAAACAACAACAATAAAAAAACTATATTAGTTTTATAGTTGAATTATTAATATAATTATTCAAAACACTATCAAAAACAAAACAAAAGATTTTTTGTTTTTTGAACAAATCATGAGCAAAAATCTATGGGTCAGGTGTGGTAATAAAAAAACTTCGTAGATGCTTTAGAAAGAATTGTTTTAGCGGAATTTCCCATTTGTGAGGAGAACATCATCGAAAAACAGGTCTTCTATTTTTAACCATCTGGAACTTTTAATACAGAAACCTAAATGGCATCAACACAACATTCATGGGCAGATATGGCTGTGACGAGCGAAGTTCCCGTCGACCAACCAAAGGCGGACGTTCAAGACGAAAAACAAAAACCGCAAGAGTCGGAGTATTACAAAGTTAAATACGGAGAATCGTTTGTTATCACTCAAACCAACAAGTTGAAAATTCAACTAGGGTATTTCTATTTATACAACTTTTGTGTTTCAATAACAATAATAATACATTGTTTGAGAGGATTGGTGTACACTCACTATACTCTCAATAAGTAAATACAATTACTGGATACAACGCAATTAATATATAAATACTAAATAATAGCGATTTTGTGTTGATGTTTTGGAACCCTAACCAACCACTCGAACAGTGGATGGTGAAAGATTTATTAGAAAGCATTGATGTGAAACCTCGAGGTATTCGGGTGGGTCGTACTGGGAAGTGCTATGCTGACTTTGAAAGTTCTGAGGTGATGACTCGTGTGAGATGCCTTGATGGGAACACAGTTGGTGACGTTGTAGTCACTGTGTCTCCAGTACCTGCTCGTGACGAGCAGAAACCGTTTTCCCCAAAGCCAAGACAAGACGGGGATAAGCCGAGAAGAGATGGCCGTCGCGGTGGTGACCGCCGAGATGATGGACGAAGTTATCAAGAGAGAAAGGAGAACCAAGAACGCAGAGACGGGAGAAGAGAAGGTGGCAGAGATCGCAATGAAGAAAGAACTGAAGGTGGAGCACAACGGGAAAAGAGAGATGATAGAAGAGAAGGTGGAGACCGCAATGGAGGTTCTTATTACCGAAGAGATGATCGTAGAGATGGAGGAAGAGACCGCAATGAAGAAAGACGTGAAGGAGGGCGATATGGAGGATATCAGAAGCGTGACGAATACGGGAGAGATGATCGCAAACAGGGTTCGCAATATGAAGATCGCAAGTACCAAAGCCACAAGTACACTCCAAAATTCTCTGAAGAAAAAGAGGTCAAAGCGCCTGAGGCACAAGCGACGACACCAATAGAGAAACCGGAACAACCAATTGAAAGTGTGAAAAAGGAAGAAGTTGTAGTTGAGAAGAAAGAGGAGAAGGTCGAGAGTCAACAACAACCGGAGAGACAAGAAAGAAGAGGTTATGGTGATAGAAACAACCGAGAACGAGGATATGGTGGTGAGAGAGGGGATAGAAATAATAGATATGGCGACCGAAATAATCGAGAGAGAAGATATGGCGATCAACAGGGAAGAGAACAACACGACGGAAAAGATCAAAGAGGCGGATATAAAAGAGGTGGCGCTTATAAAAAGTCAAACTATCAAAACGCAGACGTCGCTGAACCCGATTGGGGAGACGTGAGAAAGGTAGCGCACACACAAGATACTCTACAAGCCCCAGTTATGCCTCAGACCCAAGCGGAGGTACAACAAGTCCAGACACAAAGTAAAGAGGAAATAGTCGAGAAGACTGCGACAGAAGTCAAACAGCCGATCCCACAAGAGGCTAAACCTAAAGAACAAGAAGTGCACGTACCTACCCCTTACCCAAGTGGACATACTGATGACGACGAAGGGTGGGAACAGACTAAAACCTCAAAAAAGGGAAAAAAGAAAGCAAAAAAGTAAGTGAAACTGATTGTTTCTGTCTTTGTTACTTCTGTGGTGTGTTTTGGTACGTTTTTAAGTGGAAATAAATTTATATCTTACAGAAATAAAGGATCGGTGAGTATAAAAATGTGTAAGGTTTGTTTTTTCAAAATGGTTGACAAACAATTGGAATAGAAGACACGAAATTTTTTATTGAAATGAATAAACTTTTTATAATGCTAAAGGCTTCGAAACAATTATGTAATAATAATTACATATACCTATTTTGTTAATTTAAACACCAAGTTAAAAAAATTAGAAAAAATAATTCAATATAAGGAGATTTTTAAAATTAAAATAATGAACTTGAGATTAAGTGTGTCTTTTTGATATATTGGTTAATGACACTCATTAAGTTGAAGATCAACAATTTTTTATTTGGTTCAAAACTATTAAAAAAACATTTTATATATACTGATATTAGGCAAAAAATAGTCAAACAACTGTGTTTTTACCCAAAGATTAATTCTAATTAATGAAAATTTGTTCGTGTGTTTTTTTTATTATTTGTCTTCTAAGCATTTTTAACGGAATTAAACCAATTTATTTGTATTAAATGTGTATTATTTTACCATATTTAAATTATAACTTTTTCATTGTTATAGGTAGTCGTGTTGATTTAAAATAATTCTTAAATTCTTCTTTCTCATAGTTTTTAATTTTAAATAAAAATATTAAAAATATATTTACTTTTTAATTAATAAAAACTTTTTTTTATAATTAAATACTAATTGTTTTTAATTGTTTTTAATAATTTATTTGTTAAGATAAACAACTTCTGCATTAACACCAAGTTTCTGATTTGCTTAGGTTTAAAAATGACCAAGTTATTTTCGATAACTACAAAACATCGAAATTTTGGAATTTTGGGTTTTTCTTGTCTTTTTTTGGAAGTGTGGGAAAACATCGACTTTTTTAATATTATTCCCGTTTAAACTAGATCAAGTATTATTGACATCAGACAGACCCAAAAGTGCGAACAGAAACCACAAAAACAATTTCTATAAAATGCCAATCCGTTTTAAGGCCCCACAAATAAAACGGAATCATAAAAATGCCCGAAGTAATGCTGATAGTTGCTTTGCTATAAAAAAAACAGAAAATGTGCACTTTTTTTCAAAGCTATTTTAAATTTTTTTTTTTGAAGGGTAAAAACATGCAACACCCAATGTTCCTGAAAACATTGGGTTATTCTACATCTTTTCGATTTGTTTATTTTGCAAGACAAGCAAAAAAGCCTATTCATAGAAAACGAGTCGTTTTCTATATATATAAATAATTCACATTATAAAAAGAAGTCAGTTTGAGATTATTATCATGTCACCACGTGGTTAAATTCAACTCTTTTGCACGAACAAAAGGTAAAGCAAATACAGAAATATAGGGTTATTTACGATTAGAGACTTCAGTGTTTTTTTTTCAGAAGTTTGGCAAAAATGGAAGTGAGTGGAAAAGACCCATCATATTTCAGCCACGATGATCGAAAAATAGCGGGAGACGCCCTCAAATTATATTTCAAGGATGACCGAAAACAAACTTGGAAACTGCACCATAATTCATGTTCGATCGATCTTTTCGATTCTTTTTGCGCCGGAAATAGCGCGTTCTTTCTTCCTTGCTGAAAAATATTCTGTTAAGAGTTTTTTTAACAGCGCATTTCGGTTTTCTTTGGTGTGCAAATGGAACCGTACAAACCAAAAACTTCTATATATACCCGACAGTGGATGTTTATGGAAGAGTGCGGGAAAACACACTTTTTTGCATTCAAAAATGCGTAAAAAACTTTGAAAAAAAAAGTTGGGCGGAAATGCTGCAAAAGCAACGAAAAAATCTGCAAATTTGATGACACACCAAAGTGGCCAATAAATAAGAAATAAGTTTTGAGAATAAAAGGCGACTCGGAACTGAATAGCATACACTTCTATGCAACAAACACAAGTCAAGCTTCAGTCAATTAACAGAAATTTGTCTGTCGACCGCGAACGTCTTTCTAATGCTTGTGTCATTGGGTTGTATGTATGTGCTGGCAATGCGATGACCATCAAGTTGCCATCAAAGAAGTCGAAGAATACACTTGCGCATCTTAGCATCCATTCTTCTTTAATTAATGGAGTCGATGTCAATGAAGTCGTTCAGGCCCAATACAACTTCCCGTCGTCTTTAGACAAGAACAAAAGACGAGACAAAGAAGTTGCTATATTTAATGCCATCTCAAAGGAAATTGCAGGACAGAAATTCAAACTTGCCAAACGGACAAACGCGGTGAAGACGCTGAAATTAAAGATATACAAAGAGATCGGCCCACTTAATAAGAACGGCGTGAATGAGTTTGGAAGAAAGGTCACAGCAACTATATTAGCTCGAAAAACACACTCAAGATGTTCGCAACGCTCATTTGTGGAAATTCCAGCTTATGACACGGAAATCATGAATCTCTTTAGAGAGGTCTCTAATACTCAAGAAAGTTGCACTGAGACTAACCTCTTCGGCAACGAGTTACACGTCGAGAGTGAAAGTTCAGACTTAAGAAGTGAAAGTCTTAGAGAACGAATCCAGAAAAGTCCGACAGAATTCAATCAAGCATTGTCCGCTTTTAAACCAACAACAGTGGGAACATACTCCCAAGAATATTCGCAATGGTTCTTTAAAGAATCAAACTAATGTAAATTGTTTATTAATTTTGTTATCACGACAAAAATACTATAATATGGTAATATATTATAATTGTTTATAATATGACAGTTAAAAGATACATATTTGATTGAAGTTAAAATTAAATAACAGTTTTGTTTATTAGAAATTTAATTAAAAAAATAATTCCAAAATTTGTGTTCAAAATAATTGATTTTGTATTTGTATAAAAAAATCAAATGTATATTTTTGTAGTTTTAAATAACCAACTTTGATTATTTTTTTTACCCCATTTGTTATTTATTAGTTTCTATTTTTATCAAATCTTTTATTTTTTTTATTTGATGTTTATTAGAAAGAGTTCCAGTTTTATTTTTTACTCAAGTTTAACGATCCTGAATTATTACATATACTATATTGTATGTTATTCAATTATTAATATTTGTAACTAAAATTTACTATTGTATATGATATATTTCTAATAACAATTTATATTTGTTTATTTAATAATTATTATTATAACTGTCTAAATGTTATTTAAAATGTTATTAATTGTTTTAAATATAATAAGTTAACTAGTTTAATATAAAGGTACTTAATATCTCCATAAATACAAAGATGTTCTTCATTCCTCAATTACACATGATTGATTACTATCGTCTCACCCTCTATTTTTTCTTTAACGAAGTGACGCGAACACAGAATATTTTTATCTCGACAAATAACATAGACGCACAATTCGATTACACTTTATGGTTTTATGACGTAAGGTCAATCACAATTACAGATATATTATCTCCACTGTCTTTCTCATAAGCGATGTTTCGAATAACCCGGGAGATTTCTTCTGGTTGTAGTGTGTCATTCATGATTTGTTCTAGTGCACATTCTCTATTCATTAATACTTATAACTATTATTATTACTATATAGTACATTGTATAATATTCTATTGAATATTATACAACAATATAACTATAGAATAGATCATATGTGAATAGTATATTCTAAATTATAATATACTATAATAGAGTAACAAACGACAACACCGCAATACCATCAGAAGCGATTAATATCTTTTGAATGTTTTGAATCGGTACACTGAAATAATCCGGTTCACAGCTTAACGGTGGGTGGAGTGCTTTATCCCCGATTGACCGAGTGATTGCTATTTTCTCGTTGACCCTCAGCACTCCGCCGCAGTTAGTCACTTTCCCACCGTTTCTCATTATTTTCAGATTCTCCTCGATGTCTTCTGGTTTGTGATCCTTCCCAATTCGTTTAATTTTGTGTTCACTCAGAATATATACCGGAGAGTCGCCTATCAAACTGAACACTACATCACTCTCCCGAACTATTACAACTGACGCCGTTGTCCCACTCTCCGTCTGTTGACAGACCTCTTCATGTAACTCACTAAAAGCTCGTTTCAAGTGTTCCGCACATCCCTCACCCTTGACCAAGTCCGCACACAACTTCCTCTGCAAATTACACGCCGCAATTGCAGAGGCTTGGTCCCCATTGTGACCGTCAAAAACCGCGTAATAATCAATCGACGGAAATAGACCACCTACTACAATCAACATGTCTTCCATCGTCGTACGCTTCCCGATCGTTTGCGACGTCCCACAGTTGTGCCTTCCACACTTATAGATCAAATTCTTGGCGTGAGTGCAAAAAACAAACTCTATACCATATAGTTGTTTTTATTATAAATAATACTATAAAAGGACGTCGAACAAACGTGAAGGAGGGGGTCGACCTCCGTGCTAGAGAAGCTCTGGCCCGTTTGGACTTTCTCTGGTCTTCCGTGCTTGTGTAAAGTATATGTCGACGACAACTTTGGGAGTTGGACGTTAGTGGAAAACAATCGCTTGTCCAAAAAGACGGGACGGTCTTGTGCGTAAAACGAGTTTTTACGATTTTCGATGGAACGAGCGCGTTTGTGAAGTTTCTGTGGCGTTTGTGTACTAGCCTGTGAAAGTGTTATGGTTGTTGTCAACGGAGGACTTTGGACTAGTGGAGCAGACATCAAGGTGTTCGATTTTGGGTTTTCAGCTGGAAGTTACGAAAGAACTTGAAAAATGGAAACGTCTCTTTTTGGGAAGACTTTTGGAGGATTTCCCGAAATTCATGGGTATTTGAAGCTATCATGGTGGATCATTTTTTGTCATTTTTGGAACGATGTTGGATAAAAATATAATCTTAGGGAATTTGTGTCATCTGAGGTGTTTTTTGAAAGATTTTAAGTAACGTTTTCTGTTTGAAATTGTGAAAACTATAATTTGTAGTTTTTTACTATCATTTGAAATACTGTTTTTTGTCGACAAAAAAAATTAATTTATAAAATCGTTTTGTTGAGGAAAAAATTGAGTTTTTTTTTTCATTTGTATTATATACAATTTAAATCATATTATATTAAATATTATTATTGTATAAATTTGTAAAAAAAACAAAATAAAATTATTAATTTAATAATAATTTTTTTATTATAATGACTCAGAAAAAAACAACTAAAAGTTAACTATCATAAATATATATATTTTTTATTATGTTTTAATTCAAATCACAAAAATATGAAAAAAAAATCTGTGAAATTTTGGAACGAAATTTTTTTCTTGACGAACATATCTTTTGCAAAAAAGTTTGAATAATAAATTCAAATTATAATAATAATAACTTATTAACTTTTTTTGCACAAAAAATTCTTTAGAAAACTCCGTTTCGAAATTTTTGAATAAAAAGGGAATTCCGATATTCAATACAGTCAATGTACTTTTTATTACTGATTTCATGTATACTGGCATATTCATGCAGCTCAAACAATGGACAGTTCTCTTGTTCCAGCAACGACATATCAATGAAAGCATCTGCAGAGGAATCAAGATGGCAAACGCCGCCACGTGGCAGCCCAGATTGGTATGCAAGTTATCAGGGATACTCCCATGTAGTTGGGTATGCTCGAGTTCAATACACTTCCACTGAAAGAACGGCAGCGATTGTCACAGTAGTTCCAACAGTGAATCCAAAATATAACATCAAAAAGATCACATACGAATACAATGGTGTCGCCTCAGACTCTGAAGTGTACCAAGTCTCTAAAGAGACACTCCCAACTGAGGACTTGAAGATTAAAGTGATTGTACATATGGACAACGAAGAGACTGAATACATCAACTTGGAACCCCTCGACTTCGTCTGGAGTATTCCAGCAGCCAATTTACCATCTAACTATCAAAAAGGACAGAAGGGTGGTATCGTCGAGATGTTTGGATGGCCATTTGAAGATATTGGAAAGGAGTGTGAGTTCATGGGCAAAGCTGGGTGGCTTGCAGTGAAAGTGTATCCCCCACAAGATGCAGTTCTTTCATTTGACCAACCACAAGACAATTTATTGAATCCGTGGTATTGGGTCTACCAACCCGTCGCTTACAAGTTGACTTCGCGTATGGGGACTCGTGCACAATATAGAGAGATGGTCAAGAAGTGCCGAGCTGCAAATGTCTTAGTGTACAACGACATGGTCTTGAATCACATGTCTGGTGGAGGAAATGATGTGTTGAATCACTGCAATGGAGGGACATTCTGGGGACCAAAACAGTCCTTTACCAACTCGCCGTATTATACATTAGGATTTACATATGGCACAGACAAGTACACTGGTAAAATCAACACCGCTGAATATCCTGGTGCTGCTTATGGCCCATTACACTTCCACTGTGAAAAAGCACTCAGTTCTTGGAATGATGGATTTTTGTTAAATTCGGGATATCTCTCTGGTTTGACTGATTTGGCCACTGAGGATGATTATGTCAGAGACAGAATAGCGACTTGGATAGTCGAGAACTTGGGAGCGGGTGCTTCTGGTATTCGTATGGATGCTGCCAAGCACATTTGTCCCGATGATATTGCAGCTATCTTTGCTAAAGTGAAGATGTACATGGGTGGGGCTTTACCGGACGACTTCATGGCATATCTTGAAGTGATTACTGGGGGTGAGGCCGATATGTTAATATGTAATAATAACAACTATGAGTACACCGAATATCTGACTGAGCAACTTCAGAAGGATGGATTGAGTGAGAGCGACATTATGAAGGTGAAGATCTGGCAGAGTTGGTATCCGAGTGAATGGGGAAAGTGTGAAGGGACGATTGCATGGGAGAGACTTGTTATAGAAAATGATGACCACGACCAACAGAAGCCAGGAAGTTCATCGCGTGATATGCATGACGCTGGCTCAGTTTTAGTTAAAGAGAAAGACATTAACAGACACAGAAACTTTGAAGTCCAATTATTTTCAAGAACAGACAGAAATTGGACACATCGCTTGTTATTATCTTCATTCACCCTTGTTGATGGATTGAATGGAAATGATGGATTCCCTGATGGACTTTCTGACTGTTCTTTGTGCACTGGAAGTTATTGTGGCAGTTGCAAATCGATTCCAAAGAGAGATGCTTATGTTGCTGATGCTTCTGGATACACAGTAGAAGGATGGAGAGGCAGTGACTATACCCGAACACATCGAGATGTAGATGTTATCAATGCCATGAGAGGATGGATGGGGTTAACTCCAATAACATCGAAAGAACTTGGTATCAAAGAGTAATTTATTTTTAAGATTTTTCGATGGTTTTAAGTAAGTCAATTGCAGGAATAAAAATAAAAGAATTACTTTTTCTCCATCTTTTCTTGTTTCTCTCGTTCGGCCTTTTCTTTCTTCTCGGCTTTTGCAGCTTTTCTCTCTTCTTTTTCTCTTTCCTTTTCTGCTTTCCTTCTCTTCTTTTGTTCTTCTTTCTCCCCTTTTGTTTTCTTTCCTTCTTTCTCTACACTTCCTCGGACGTATAACTTCTCGATGAACGGCCCAAATTTCACAAGTGCTAATTTTTGGTCTTCAAAATTCATAACCTCTTTCAATGTCTCCGTCCCAGACTGTCCTTCTAACAATATCCCAAACCGCTTGATCTGTAACGACTTCGGCAACTGTTTATTAAGCCAATCGATGCGTTGTCGTATAAACGTCCCAAAGTATGAGTCTCTGGCAAGCATCTTCTCTGTTGGACATTTCTCTTTGAGGGTTTCTTTAGCCTTGGAATACACAACAGACAATATACAACTCAAATATGGCCGTTCATTACCAACAACCAACGCACTCTTCACGACTACAATCTTCTTCACAAGGTTCTCCACAAACTTATATGGTATAAATTCGCCAGAACTCGTTAATAACACCGTTTTACTATATGTCGTGATTTCGATGAACCCGTTATTCATTTTGGCCTCACATCCCGTTTTAAACTCTTCCTCAATCTCTTCAGTGGTATACCCACCACTCACATTAGGCCCCTTACACACTAACTCACTGCCATTTAGGGACACTTCACACTTGTCGATAGGTTTACCTACGGACTCAAGTTGCAGACACTTCTCTCTATTTATAGCCATAAATCCAGTCGTTTCGATATATGGAAGTCCACAAAAGACTTCAATACCCTTCCCCATCACTTCCTTTAATATACTTTGTGGCATGTTCCCTGCACAGATGAAGTACTTGACATTCACTATCCCAACTTTCTCTTTGCCTTTGTTAAACACTAAAGTCCGTGATGTGCCATACCCAACTGGCTTTGATTTTCCTTCCTCTTGCTTGACCATCCCATCAACAGCCAAGTCTTTCACCTTCGTTGCCAATTTAGAAGTCTTTAACACTTCATTCAGCCGCACAAGGAGTTTCTCATAGAATCTTGGGACAGCGACTAAAAGTGTTGGTTTGTATTTTTTCGCGATTTCAATATACCCTTTCAACCCCTCTCGATACAACACATCCGGCGCAATATACACTTGATACCCAACCATCATAGGCAAATACAACGCAAAGAGTCTCTCTATGTAATACGACATGTTGTGACACATAATGTACTTGTCTTTCATCGTCAAGTTAAACATCGACTTCAATGCACAACACTGCGAAATGATATTTCCATGCGTCCAGACGACTCCTCGGAGTTTATTTGGTCCTTCACAAAAGACAATCTCGGCGATGTCTGTTGGCTTCTGGTTCGAGAGAACATCTTTGACTTTCGACTCGTCGACACTCTCGTTGATCTTCTTGAAGTCGTCGTAGTTGACAAAGCCATCATTCATCACGCCATTTATTAACAAACAGGGCACTTTCACATATTTCATTAATTCTATTAATAAGTCCTTGTTATCGATGTCACACACTAATTGAACGACTCCACCTTGTTTCACAGCTTCTACTAGAGAGACCATTGGCATACTCGGATTCATATGTACCGTATACATCCCAGCAGATATCGCTGCAAGACTTAAAGCATGGACTCTGTAGTTGTTCTTCGACACAAACATGACGCCTCTATTCTTTAAATTGAGTGATATGTACGACTTCGTTAACTTCTTAATTTCTTCAGCAAAGTCTTTGACAGAGACTTCAGGGACTTTAACTTTCTCTTGTGTGAAAATGTTCCCTTCCATGTCACTGATCTTCTCAATGTAGTTCTGTAAAATGGACTTCCCATTCTCATATTTGTCATTATACTTCGACAAAGTTTCAAGGGCTTTTGAAGAAAGACCTTGAAAGGGTTCGATTTCTTCAAGAGTCTCTGGAACAACAGAATCTTCAATATCAGGAAATGGACTCGGCGATTTAACTGGTTTCTTTGGACTCACTTTCTTCTCTCCTCCATCTTCAGACAACACTATCTGGGAAACAGCAACCTTTTTCTGGGTGTCTAGATTTTCATCTTCTTCCCCACTTGAAGAAGTATCCTTCTTGTCTTCTGATTGGTGAGAAGATGATTCACTCTTACTACTAACATCGTTGGTTTCTTTGGATAACGTTTTGGTCTCGTTGGGAGACTTTTCTTCGTCAGAAATGGACTCTGGTAAGATTGGTTTCTCTACCTCTTCAGACATTGATCTAATTATTGTTTAATTTTTCCTATTCAAATTGCATTTGGATGGAATTGCTTTTTTTTACTTGTTAAGTATAGTTCATTATTAATTTCTTCATTTGGAATAATTTAATTTAAAAGCGGATTAAAAAGCAGTTTTGTTCGAATATGTGTGCTTTTTTTTATACTAAAAACTTCTTATGGATCTTTTGTCGTAAAAATATAATTTTTTTTATAATACTTTGTATCTTTAAATGTATTATTGTTTTTTAATACATTTATTTGCTATTTTTTATTTGTGGCACATTTGATTTTATCAAAAAAAACAAATTCAAGTTTCATGACGTCATGTTTAAATAGTTCCTTATTTTTTAGATCAAAACACAATTTCTACAAATAACAATTTCTATTTCTATTTATAGTATATAATCTATTTTTTGATTCTGTTTCTTTGAGATCCTTTTTTTTATTCCAATAATAATAATACCATTTTTAACCAAATGTGTGTTATTATTTTTTTTAATAAACTTTTATTATATGATCATTCATAATTGAAAAAATTAGTAAAAATGAACTATAAGGGTCAACTGTTTTTATAAAAATTAAAAATTGTTTTTTTCAACAACAATGGAATCAACGTGTCACCAAAAAAGAAATTAATTGATTAAATACTACGTATAATCCGACAAAAAGAAAAAAAGATCACAAAATTTCCATTTTTAAAGAAGTAAAATGTGACGAATTTCCAATTCACCATAAAACTTATTTTTAATTCATTGGGGGAATTACCCCTATATTTGCGTCAAAACCCGCTTGTATATTTGGGAATTTGTTTTGTAATTTATGAAAATTATAATAATAATACAAAACTAATCGGGAAAGTGACTTCACCCAAATAACACGTCTCATTTCGCCCATCTCTTTTTTACTCAAAAATAATTTCCAAAATTTAGTAACAACAGTCTCTGAAAATCCTAAAAAATGGGGTTTTTACCTAATTTATTTTTTTATTTTTTCTGTTTTTTTTCTTGGTTACAAAGTTAATATAATAGCCTTAATTATACTACAATATCGGGAAAATTGTCCTAAAGAAAAACAATTGATTATGAGGGAGCAAATACTGCTTACAAAGCTGAAAGACGGACAAAAAGACCTGTAAGTTACTGACTGATCTGATTTTGGTTGAAGTATGCCCCAAATAGCCGAAGAAACGAAACTTTTTTTACAGGCGATTTTGGCACTCGTAACTTCGCTCGTTGAGCACCCTTAATATAAAAAACACCAACTCCATATTCACTTAATGCCAAAAAAGCAACTCGAATACCCCGAAGTGCTCGACCAGACTTTTCTTATAACCCTCCACGACCACTTCATGCACGATGGTGTTCTATCCAAGGCCTGTGTTATTCGGTTACTCAAAGAAGTGAGTAAAGTACTACGAGAGGAACCAAACCTTTTACGAATTAAAGAAGACACTTTGGTCTTCGGAGACTATCATGGACAATACTTTGACTTTATTGAGCAGAGAGATGATCAGTTTGTTCTTCTCCATCACGGTGATCTATATGGTACTATAAATAGTAAGATTTGTTATAAAATATAGTATATTGTTTAATAGTATTATTTATAGTAATCAAGTAATAACATATAGATTCTGGAATCCCACGCCACATTGCTCATTGTATTTAGGTGACTATGTGGACAGAGGAAGTATGTCTTGCGAGGTCGTTACGACACTTTTCTTCATGAAACTGATCGACCCAAATAAAGTTTATTTACTTCGAGGAAACCATGAGACTCGGAAGATGACTGAGCGGTTTGGGTTTAAGTCCGAGTGTCTCACCAAATACGACTTTGAGACGTATAACATATTTATAAAGACGTTTGAGTGTTTACCACTGGCAGCCACTATCTCAAGGAGTGTTGGCGACTTCTTCTGTTGTCATGGTGGTATTTCGCCCAATTTAAATAAGATCGAAGAGATCAATAAGATCTTTAGATTCACGGAAGTGCCATCGAGTGGTCTCTTTTGTGACTTGTTGTGGTCCGACCCTTATGTACCAGAGATTGATAACACCAAAGAAGTTAAAATAACGCAATTTGCGAATAACAAGTTCCGGGGTGTCTCGTACATCTATGGGATCGAAGCAATGAAAGACTTCTTAAAAAGAAATGACCTCAATTTACTCATTAGAGGACATCAATGTTTCGAAAATGGGATCTTTGCTCACACTTTTGGGTTCCCAGAACATCAGCCTCTTGCTCTCACAGTCTTTGGAGCTTCAAAGTATCAGAAAAACAGTAAAGCCGGGTCTATTATGATAGAAGAGAAGGCCGTGAATATCCGGCGGTATGAGACAACAACAATTCAGAAACATTTCAAGAAGGATTTCAGTGGGATATTTGTTGACTCTGTATTTGGTCTTGGCAATATGCTTCAAGAGATCAGTTTTAGTCTTGTTGAGTTGTGTTACTATTACGATGACGACTTAAAAAAGTGCGAAAGTGATGAGAAAATAGCAGAGGATCAATTTGTTGTGTTTGATTCAAATGAACCGTCTCAAGAAGATTGCGATGATGATGACGACGATATTTCAGACTCAGAAAGTGACTCGGAAGACTCGAGTGATGACAGCGATGAGAGTGAAGAAGACGACACATCAGAAGAAGAAGAGATTGAAAACGACGAAGAAGATATTAAAGAAGAACTTCAAATACACAACAACCAATTTGAACGCGAGAAAGTCGAAAGAGTTCAGCCACAAGCTGAAGTCCAACAACATAAAGAAGATGTCGTTGTGCAGACAACAAAAATATCAAAGAATGCGGCAATAGAAATGAATGATGACACACTAGAACCTTTAGAAATTTCAACACCAGTCTCTTTCTTAAATGACCACTTCACTAAAGTAACACCACCAAGTCGTTTAGTAAGCTTATTCCAAAACATTCATCACTTCAGACCTAACACCTTATTTTGCTTATCGAAATTCAAACCGCCACTAAGCCCTCGACCATCTACACTTGGATCGCCGAGACCAACAACTCGTCCACTCTTATGTTTGTTGGATTGGCTCGAAAACAATGTCTCACAAATAGATGAACGTGTTGTGAAATGGCTGAACTGTGATGCGGCTCCCGTGACTCTTCGGGACTTGCGAGATATGTGGAATAATCGTAACCATTAACTATTAAATAATTACATGTTTTATTTATTGTTGAGTTATCGTTTGACACCATTACAAACAAACAGGTGGACTTTGAGGAATAGAACTTGAAATTGAACTAAGAACAATCAATCAGTCAAGATCTGGATGATTCAATTCAACGACCTTCTGAATGTTAAAGACTTTTGAATTCACGGAGTATTCGGACTTCGACTTACTTACGATTTTGAGTAACTTGTGATTTGTCTTGACAAGCCCCGTTGTAAGAGACTTGAAAGTTATGGAAGACCCATTACGAGAAGCTTCTAATATACTTTCGAGTCTGTTCACCCCATTCTTCCCACTCAAAGTCTTTGTGATCAACTCGAAGCCTAATTCGAGGAGAAGATCTTCCATTAGGTGGATCACTTCTATCTTCTTATTGTTTTGATATCGACGAGTTGCTGTTTTCTTGGAGGCGCCAAGGGCCATGTCGTGCTTGAGCTTCTGGTCCCCTCTCATTTTAATGAAGGAAGAAACATCGATGAAGTCGTCCTTGGAAAATTCAAAACGGGAGACTTTAAAGAACTGCTCCGTGACTAGACTCTTCCGCTGCGGACGCTTGATAACTACATTACAAAAAGGGGATAACAAACAGATACAGAGAGTTTGCTGTAAGGTTAAGTTGTTTCGAGCTTCACGGGAAGCGCGTAGAATTGGTAAACGCTTTTCTAAAGGAGTTTTGCGGGGTGTGCTTATTACTTTTTCTTCGGGTCTTATAACATCTTCTTGGGGTTTAAGTGTTGGGAAGAACAACGAAATTTTGGGTATGGAAATTGAAGGAAAGAGACTTGACATCGGAAGATATTGGTTTCGAGTTGCGCAAGGTTTTAAGGGAAATCCAAAATACTTTGACTAAAGTTGTCATTTTTTAAAAGTTGAGAAGATTGTATTGATGGCGGAATAATGGATTGTAATCACCTGAAGTTTTTTTTTTGGTAAAATTTAATCAATTTGTAATAGAATTCTTTTTTGTTTTTTTATTATCAAATTAAAATGGTTTTATTATTAATACTTTAAATTGTTTTTTTGTTTTTTTTTATTATGATGCAAAAAGAATAAAAAATATAAATTGTTGAATAAAAAAAGAAAAAAAGTGAAGAACTATATTCAATAGGAGAAAACGAAAGTCATTTTTATTAATAATTTTTAATAAAAAAAATATAAAAAGCAAATTGCTTTAACAACTACATATTATTGTTTTATTAATATAAAATGTTATAAAATGTTATAAAAATTAACATTTGTTATTTAAAAGAAAACTATGCTTCGGTCTTTGATTAAAAAAAGAAATAGTCTTTAAAAAAGTTCCAATAAAAAAATTTAATAATATAATTATTCTAATTTATTATTAATAAAAGTTGGATTTTTTAATTGAATTAACTATTAATATAAATATTTTGTTTTTAATAATTTTATCCAAAATACAACAATTGTAATATTATAAAAAAAATATATTATGAAATTATCTAAATAAATAAATTATAATAAAATTTAAAAAAAAAAAAAAATCATTTATAATTAAAGATTTAATTTTTGTATTATTTTATTTTTTATAAATAAAATAATGTAAAATATAAATATATTATTAATAAAAGTTATAATAAATAATAACCATTATATATTTCCTAATAGATTGAAACAATTTATATATTAATAGTAAAAAACTATAAGATAATAACACATTTATTACAATTACATATTAATAGTTTAGAAACTATATGAGAGTTAACTGTAAATAATACAACTAAAAAAAAACTACAAAACACATGTCAAAAAACAGTGATAAAGGACTTACTAAAACAATTCCACAAGTCAGTCTTTCTGCCTTTTCGTTTCTTTTTGGAGAGTACATTCATCATGAATTTCACCAAGAAAATCGTATCACAACAACTCAGTTCCACGACAAACTTTTTGATTTGGGGTACAACCTTGGCATGAGAATGACAGAACTTATTTCTTATAAAGAAAAAGAAGGTTTACGTGAAAACACAACGGATGGGGTGATGAACTTTCTTGCGAAGGATATGTGGAGAGTAGTTTTTGGATATCAAGTCAATTATGGGAAGGTGCGAGATAAGGCCAACGAGTGTTTGTCTTTCTACTCAATTGTGTTCCATGAAATAATGATATTTATTTATGTTATAAAGTCTCACTACAAGTTTTAATCACAGACAAAAATTTAATCATTACCGAGTATATCAGTTATGCTTCTGATTGTAACGTCTATTGTGTTGCTTTTGTCGCTGGTATTGCGCAGTCATGTATGGACGCTGCAGACTTCGTTTGTTCTCTTCTATTTTTAAAACTATAATTAAATTATAAATATACTATAATATATATTTCTAGAGTCCACATTTTTGATATGACTTAAGTAGATTCTCCAAGCAAGAAAATTAATGATACAGAAAGGAACAGTGACACACGGGGAGGACGAGGATGGCCCATATTTACATATAATATTTCAGCTATGATTATTAATTTTTTTGATACTTATAGAAGACAACATTTTAACTATTAATAATAGTTATAAATAAACTAATAGAGAGAACACCAAATAAACAACATAAGAAGCTTAATTAAACGTGGAGTACATCAAGGTATAGTAATAGTAATGTTAACAACAACACCAGGAAGCAGAACCCGATGCATGATATCCAAATAACAATTTTGAGCCACATCCTTTTATTGATCCATTCATTTTGGTGGCACAACAATCCCAAAGCGGCGACAGCTCCTCCAATAAACCCGAAGATGTGTGCGGCGTAGTCGATACCTGGCATAAAACTTAATACAAAGATGATGATCGTTGATATGAGTAATTGTCCTATTAAGCTGATCCATTGTCTTGATGGGAACTTGTTTTTGTTCAAAATGATGTCGATGAGAAAGCCACCGAACACAGCAAGTAATGCGCCAGATGCCCCAACGCCTTGTGTAGTTGGGAAGATCATCACAGAGAAACAGTTGCCGATTATCCCGCCGACAAAGTACACGATTAAGAAGCGGAGGGTATTCATCCGTCTTTCTATTATCATTCCAAGGCGGAGTTGCATCGAAAGGTTACATACCAAATGGATGATCCCAGCGTGGAGAAAGATTGGAGTTATAAGTCTCCAGAGTTCATATTGCTCCTTCATTTTCTTCGCATCTTTTGCGCCGAGGATGTCCATTGCGTCGGAGGTCGGTCCAAGCATCCAATTGATGCTTGGCTTCTCAAAGCCTTGTAACGAGATTTCTACTATGAGCATCACAAATTGAATGAATGAAAGTATGAAGCACGCAGAGAATATGAATAAACAGTATCGATGCGAATTGGCTGGTGAACACGGTGGTGGGATGAAACACGGACAACACGAGTATCCATACAACTTCAAGTAATTTACTGGTATCGTAACTTCAACGTCTTGAAGATTTCCATCAACTCCATAGACTTGTGCTTTACCAGATGCACCAGTTTGGACAGGTTCACCATCAGAGTCCATGTCACGATACACTACTCGAGTAGCTTGTGGGCGGTCTTCTCGCTCGTCGTTCCAATCAAAGGTGTGGATATTCGATTTGTTCACTGGAGGCGGAGAGTGCATTTCTATTTGACTTTCTAAGTTTTAAGTTCATATTTGTGGAGATTTGTTGATTGTCATACAAAAGGATGATATCTTACTGATTTCAATTGTCACATAACATTTTTATACCGAAGATATTTTGAAGAATTACCAAAAGACAAAGTGAACTGGCAAAGTGAATTATTGTCTTCCATTTTTAGAAACATTTTATAGTTTAATTTCTAATTAAAAAATCTTAAGTTTCTAATTTGAAAAAAAAAGCAATTAATTTTTATAGTAAAATTAAATTAGAAATAACCATACTAATATCATCTCATTAATAATTTACAACCTCATTTAAATATACTATGAATTGCTAACAAAATTGCCTAAGATAATTTTAGAATAAACCCAAAAACAACAAAACAGTTTGCTACAATGTTTTTGAAAGTATTTTATTGTTTAACTATAATTAAACTATTAGAGATAAGCAAGGTCAACATAGACATTATTTCTATAGTCGGGTACAAGCAATGAGTACGTAGGAGGTTCTTGATTAAGTAAAACACTATTTGTCTCAGAAATGCATGAAGACGGTGATGTTGAAGGGATTGATCCACCGGTATAAACACGACTGCATTGATTTGGTACAAAAGCTCTTAATTCTTTGAAAGCGGGTGAACACCCATTGAGTGTAGCTGTGTTTTTTTCATTCAAAAGTCCTTTAATTCGTTGATTAAAAAGTTCACCAAAGACGCTTAAATTCTCTGCAAAATTCGAATCGACGACTTTCCCCAACAAATGAATTGAATTCAGTGAAGAAAATCCGCTCTTTGTTGAAGTTTGTTTTGTTGTAATTTGCAGTGGCGAATTTCTTTGAATCAAGTCGATGAGTCTTTTACAATTAGTTCCGTCTATTTTATAATTTATCAAATAATTCATCCCGTTGTGTGAATACGACACTAACACAAATGGCTGAAATGTTTTACTTAGTCGGGATTGTCTTTGTACATTAAGAGTAAACCCCAATGTGTTTAATATCCCGCACAAATATGAAAAGTCGTACACCTCCTTTTTAGTAACTTGAACAGACTCTACACTCAATAGTAGTGTAAATACAACCCACAAAAAAATCATAGACTTTTAAGTTCAAATTCCAATGTTATTTGTATAGTAATTATTTATAATTCTTTTATTATTATATATAACTCATTGAAAGACATTTTTGTTCTTCTTCTTTCCAATTCAAAAAAAGTTATCAACAAATCTATTCACTTCTATTTAGTATAATTTATAGTTATATTAATTATATTTTACTACTCATTATTTTATATGAAATGGTCGAGTTTATTATTTATCGGAACATAAATTTGGTCAATTTCATTTAAAAAGACAATTTGATTCCAGTTAAATAAGGAAAAGTGCATAGTTTAATTTTATAGTATAAAAGATATAATTCCTGATACCAAATTAAAGAACAGAGTTGATTACATCACAATTTTAGTCTTGAGGAATGAATTTTCAGGCTCATCAATTGGTCCATCGACAATACCGAGGGAATGACACACGGCATTGCATTGGTGAGTTGAGAAGAATTGACTCATTCCCCTTTGTGACAAATTAGTTAACGAGAAGTAGTACTTCGTAACCGACTCGTGATGTATAGCGGGGTCTGTGAGGAGGTAGTCGTTCTTATCTGGTCTAATGATCCCTTGTAAGTCGCACACAATCAGTCGTTTTGCTGTTCTGAAATAGGACCAATGTGAGAATGCTTGAATAGTTGCGCTATACAATTCTGTATTGACCATACTATTGTTATCGTTGAACTTCACAAACGTTCCTTTAAGCATTGGTTCGATGAAGTACATTTTATTATCCAGTGCTATTCTTTTTAATTGGTCATACGTAAGTGTCTTCACATTCCACAGAGTAGTGTCACACACAACAAATATAGAAACAGGCACAAAATTGATTCTTTTGAACGTGTCGCACACCTGATTGAATTCAAACGCAAGTTGTTCCACTGCCGAGTTCAATTCAAGAATGTCTAAAAACTGATAGACATCTTTTCCTCGTTGTTTAATAAAGTCTTTCAATACAACAATCTTCTCCTCCGCTCCACTCACTTCCTTCCCCAAATACGCGTTTCGCTCCGCTCCTCTCGCAAACGGAAACACTCTCTTTTTGATCGTAACAGGTTCGACCAAGAACTTAGTTGGTCTCGCCCAATATTCGTAACACGCGTCGTTCAAAAAGTATGTTGGATCAATCGTAACAGAAAATCCTTTCATCTCTTCCGTGTCTTCAAAGTTAATTGGATACATTTCTCTCATCCGCATTGGGATCAGAGCAAAGCTCTCCTCCGTCATGACTTCCGTTGTAAATGAAAGAGGGTAGATCGGTTTATAGATTTGTCGTGTGATTTCACCGCCGACGTTGACCTCTTCAATGTACTCGAGCTTACTCAAACAGCCCAAATAGACGTCGTTGAATTCCTTAGTGATTTGTTGGCTTGTGAGACCGTACAGAATTGTTGTCTTTAATTTGACCAATATCTCCAATTGTGGATTTATAGTCAACGCGTCTTTCAGTTGAATGAAATCGGGTTGGAAATTTAAGATGTGAACAAAGAGTGGGACTCCCAAGTTCTTAGCTTGAATGGCCAATAAAATTTGGGGAAGTATACGTGTTAGTGTGATTGAAGTGGTGACTGGACTATACTGTAACATTTGAATATAACCTATGAACAGCCGTACATTGTCAAACGAAAATTGTTCGATCCCATCACGGATTATAAACACATTAATCCGTTTGTTATCCGGAAGTGATGGTTCGGTTATGATGTTCAAGATGTGTTGCACCATTTGGTAGTGATACTTCTTCGCACTTATTCGGGCGTCTATCACAAACAATACATCATAATTGCGGATGGAAATTGACCCATCAGAAAACATGGAGACGTCACACGGTGTCGGGGACTTCGTAAAGTAATCAACGGCCTCCGCAAATTCCTTTGCTATAAGTACCATCTCTTGTGATACTTTCGGCTTGTATGCCATCGTTTTAATCTACTCAGTTCTGACTTTTTGAGTAACTATTATGTATTAGACTTTTATTTATAATTTGGTATTATAAATTATAATTCGTTTATTAGTCAAACTAGTAAAATGTTGTTGATTGTCACTTAAGTCATTAGAATACTTCATTATATTGTGATAAATCATTATTCTTAATAATCTATATAATTATTAAAATTATAATTTTTCTTTATTAAAAAAAATCATTATAAAATCATTTTAATTTTATTTATAAAAAACATAAATTATTATAATTTCTGGTAAAATTAATAATAACAAGACCCAAATGATTGACCACAAATCGGGGATGTAGTGTCAAATTTTGAAAAACTGACAAAATTAAATTGAAATATGTTATTTTAAAAAGTGTAAATTTTTGTGAGTTATTTATTATATTTGTAATTAAAAACTATTTAAAAAGATTTTGAATTTTTAAAAAGTGCACTAACCGGGACTCGAACCCGGATCTCCACCTTGGGAGGGTGAAATTCTGCCCTTAGACCATTAGTGCTTTCTTGATATTGAAATTGAAATTGGATTGTATTTCAAACGGATAATTGAACTGTTATTTAAAATTTATAAATTATTATTAATATCAAAAAAACATTTTGAGATGATGCGTCAAAGTTTCCGTCGCAATGTGGTCTTCTGATTATGACAAATTGTGAAATGGTGAGATGTGTCAAAAGTAATTGAAATGTAATTATTGTGGAGAACACAAATAGCCAATCACACACATGTAACAATTAAAACCAAAAGTTACACAAAACTACTCAAAGAAGTTGTATGATATTGTTAACCATATGAATACTATATTATCTATTTTCAATTAAAATGCAATTCATCTTTTCAAAAATACGATGACATTCTGGACACGTGAAGTGAAATGAGTCATCGTACTCTGTGTCAGTGACCGTTACCCACTCTATAAACAGCCATCTGAAAGCAAAGACAAACATTTCATGTGCGAGAAAGAGTGTCCAATCAAGAAGGCGTATGAAGACTTTCTGAGAATTGTGCCAAAAGTGCAAGTTGGCGAAGAAGCGCCAGAGCAGGGCTCCCCAAATTTGGTTAAAAGGCGAGTTAAAAAATGATGATTTTTTATTGTTTCAAAAAGTAAATAACAAAATTAATTAAAAAACATTTATTTGATTTTGTTATTGGTTATAAAAAAAACACGAATCAAGACTAAAATTACATAAGAGAAAGCCTACTTTGCGTCATTTTAATAAATTTTGCAGACAAACGAATATCTGCAGTTTTTACTTTCATGTTTATTTTGTTAGCATAGCGATAAAAAGAAAACAAAGATTCCACACACGAAGATGTAGGAATAAGGCTAACTACAAGAAAAATAAGTTCTGAACATCTAAGAAAGTTTTCATGACCAAATAATTGTAGTGCATCCAGAAGGCTGAATTTACATATTTTGTTTTTTGAGTTAGTATCAATAAACTTTTTCACGTCTTCTATGTTTGCATCAATAAGTGTTTTTAAATTTGTGAGTTCTATTTCCAAATAGTCTAAAGTGTTATTTACAAACATGGTGTCTTCGCGAATATATTTTTCAGGGAAATTGAAACAGTCCAAATATATATCCAAATTTTGATAAACCCCAAGTTCTGTTTTAACAGAGGAAAGTTTCTTTGAATCTGCTTTAAATTTTACACACGTAGAATTACAAAACCTGATGTTCAAAGCATTAATAAACTCTGAAATAATATTTTTACACGACGATGAAAAAACAATTGGAGCTTTAAACGGCAAAAAACGATTTACTGAATAGAAAGAGTCAAAACATCCATTCGAAGCATCAGACATTTTTACATTCAAATTGTTGATTAACTCAGTGACACGCAAATACTCTTCGTTTATTAATCCAAACTTTTCTTGCATTTTATCACAACAAACTTTTGTAATATTCAAAATATCATAATAAAATTCGGCGAAAGCAAGGAACATTGTATCTTTTACGTCAAAATAATTAATACGTCTCCCCAAAAACACGAAATAATTAATATCACTTTTTGCCTTTTCCAATTCTACGTTGTTGCACTTTGGAAGTCCTGCCTTGTATTGGTCAATAAGAATGGTATTAATTTTCTTATAAATGTCAAGTTCTCTAAAAAACAAATCGAAGTCTTTAAAGTTGTTGATCAATTTATCAACTATTAACTCGTGATAACACCATCTTGTGTTACTCATGGTGGGTATATGTACATGTTCAATGTAATCGTCTTTGCTTCCCCAAAACGCGTTCCATTGAGTTATTGTAACATCGCTACATATCACTTTGAGAATTGCCAAAAGAACTCTTCCATCTGCTGTATTCCAAAGAAATCCTCAGCCACGT